CAGATAAAGATGATTTGTTTGCAAAGAGAAACAAAGCGAAGACACAAGATGAAAGAGAAACGACAAATCACCAGGGCGGTAAGTTTTCTTATGTGTGAAATTTGCCATACACAATTGGGTTTCAGTCTAGACCGTCGACGCTTTCAGTTTGATTCATTCACAATTACGATTGTCTTTAGAGATACCTCAAGGTTACAAAAAGGGGGGGGTGACATTTTGTACTCCAACACAGGTTTACCGATCGCACGGGGTAAAATTATTCTAGAGATTTCGCCACTTTTGAATGTTGCATAAGCATTTAACTTTCAATCCTTTTTTGTTACACGCGTTGTAAGGCCTAAACAAAAGTGATCATTAACTCACATAGAAACGCCGTGCCCTTGTTTGAGTTAGGTCAATTCTACGTTATTGTATCGGCTGTTAGACGCCAAGGTGGTCAGCTTAGTCAGTCCGGAGCACAGACTGACTTTAGTGTGTTCCACAATACTGTTCAAGTTGGATCACACCTCCTGATTAACACGGTCAGTCGTTTAGAAGTGACACCTATGTCAACAAAGGACCTTCGACCTGAGGTCACGGACTGGATTATTGATTATTACTTTGATGAGAAACAAGCAGTGAGCATAGCTCCGTAAAGCTAGATAAACCGATAGTTTCCAAAACTATTACGAGTAGCTGCAAATTCACTTCATTCGAAGGAAGAACTGACCGGCGAAGCAGCGCGGTTCATCCATCTGAGGGTGATTTCAGAAACCCCGCATATTTGTCCGCTTTCATTTGGTACACCTGAACAACATCAGGATACGTAGTTTTCACCGCCGAACTCGGAAAACAAAACCATGACCTTGATACCAAAATAAGTGTGGATCGATTCGTAATATCAGTCACCTGTCGGAGCTATGTGGTTCATTCTAGAAAGTGCATTTCCTCCTGAAAGCTGCTGTTGAGTTGGAAGCGGCAAAAATTTTGTTCCTAGAAACAACTCCAGAGTGGAATCATACGTCCTTGCTTGAGCGGTCCTGGTGCGGTTATACTGGCGAAGTTTCGCCAAAAGGGCGAATCAATTCACCCAAGTCCCACTCATTAAGACAAACCGTCAGTGCATAACCTTGATCTTTTCCGTACCAGAGCTTTACATCTCCTATATTCAAGGCACGCACTTTCGCAGCAATCTAACAGCACCAGGCATCGTTGAGTTGTCCTGTTCCAAAAGGTGAATTTAAAGGTGATGCCTCGAAAGATAACTGGATGGGTTTACATTTCACCCGGAGCAAACGGCCTAGGTCCTTTGTTCGATGGCGCTATGCAGGTCAGTCTTCCGGACAAAGGGGTTTACACCTTAATGAATAAGACTTCCTTCCATAACCTAACATCTATTCTAACTTGATATAGAAACTTGATCGTCTGTCAATAACTAAAATTAGTTAGCTTCTCTGTTTTCTCCCGGAACCGTGTTTAATCAGGCATCAACCTGCAGACGTTCTACTCTGCCACGCTTTCCGCAACGTGCAACAGATCACCCTTTCTCAACCTACATTGGTGAGGCTCACCACGTTTGCCATCGACGAGGATATTGTAATCCCTTATTGTGGTGCGATTCTTTGTCTGCGAAAACGCTTTGTTCGCCCGCTAGATCCACCGTAAACAGCCTCATGTTGGTATTTAGGTCAGATCTTTCGTTTACCCCAGGAGCGCTCGTTCGTGGGCATGGGTATAGTCAAGCTTGTGAAAACAAAACCGTATTTCAAGAGCTATCATGTCAAGCCTCGCAGGATGCAAGAGGGAAAGACCGACTACCTTGCCAGAAAGTGGCACATTCGGCAGGCTAAGAATAAGTATAATACATCGAAGTGCCGGCTCGTTGTTCGGATCACGGACAGAGGTATTGTCTGTTGGGTTTCAAGTTGTGCATATTTCAACGAGCTACCAAGATATGGCGTGAAGGTTGGGCTCACCAACTCTGAAGCGGAGAGCTTGTTCCTTTCACTTGTCCACTTTACTGGTGATCTGAAACGGGATTTCCACTGACGTATACCATCTCTGGTGTTTGTCTGGGCGATTCGAAGGAACCACGTGACACCAGATTCATCAACCCACTGTACTTCTCGCCCTAAATTGAGAACGTTCAAAATGCCAGCAACTCTCATCTGAGTTTAAAGAAATGTCGAGGAGTGCAGAGGCCACGTGCTTACGAGCGGTTTAACAGTGCTTTCCTGATCGTAACCTTAAATGAAGATGATCTGCTCTGCACCAGTTGCAAAGACCTTAGTAGCTTTTATCCGTGTTTGATTCCGGGCATTAAAAGGGAAAAAGCAAGGCAAAAGGAAGGATCGCGGAAGCAGCTAAATTTTACAGGCGCTCAACACCGGTCAGTTGGTGGCTAGAGTGTTTGTCACACCCAGTGTTGACCCACTGTTGGTCAGTTCTCCGATTTCCGTGTCTTGATGCCTACCGGGGGTGTGAATGAAAAAAACGTGAACCTTGATTATCATAGAGGAAACTACTCACGAGTTTGCTGAAAACTCTTCGACAGCTCACGACCGGTTTCGCCCTTCCACTTCCGGCTCATCCGGTAGGCGCAGGCCCCAGGTCCCGTTCGCTCAGTCAAAGGAAACTAATTAAGGTTCAAGGAGTACACTCATTTGCAAATCAATTTGGTTTTCACGGGAGACTCAATTGAATCTCTCGTTTATGGAAGACAACATAAGCGAGAAATTCAATTGAGTCTCCCGTGAAAACCAAATTGATTTGCAAAATGAGTGTATTCTTGAACCTTAATTAGTTTCCTTTGACTGAGCCCAGGTAAAACAGGTTTGCAGTTTTATTACTTCAAAACGTTAACCGTCTCGGATTTACGAAGCCGAAAAGCGGCATATCTTTCAACCTCAAGGGACTTTTTTTATCGGGCTATAGTATGGACTGTTTTGTTGTGCGGCTGTAAGACACGTCCGCTTCCAGTAACCAGAATTAGACATCTTCAAGTCTTCGTGTGGTAAAGGTATTTTTCAGGTTATTTCTTGGTCTGAGCCTCCCAGGCTGGCGTTCACGTCAAAACAACCACCAAGGGTGCATAAGTTATAGTAACACCCAAAACGAAGTCAGGAACACTTGTACAGCGCTTCAGATATATGCATTCTTTTGTGGGATGGACTTCTCGGGCGTAGCAGCAGCTGAGTGTGAGCGGCAAAGCTGGATCCGTGTGGAATTCTGCCTAACACTTCGACATGCGTTGCCTGCAAACATAGCCCGTGCAGACTGATACCGGCCGATCCGTCACTGGACAGTTGCGAAACGCGTCCTCGGCTGTGCAACGGAGGCTTCAGTGGAGGAGTGTGTCCAGCAGCAAACACACCAGCAGTAAGACCACGCACTGTGCCTGTCATTTGCCGCGTCCACTTCATCGCACGACAAGGAAAGAAATAGGCAATATTTGACCTCGTGGAGGCGCATGAAAGTGACTGAAAAAGATTCCTGTACTGTGGGTGCTGGTCTCTTCCAGGCTGGTGGTCACATAGTCCTCCTTGTTCACGGCTAGAAGAGCTAATCGACGTCATTAGCATTCTCGTTTCCATTGCCTGAACGAGTGCCTGGAGTTGTAGGCACGTCTGCATAATTGTGTCTGGCTAGTACCAAGTCGCTTCGTTGTCCCCCTCTATTCCTTTATTGACACTGAAGCCTTCAAATAAGTCATGGTGGCGAAGCGTCGGTGATGAACACTGATATCGTGCCGACAGTGATGGTGATGATGGTGACGACGATGATTGGTGATGATGTTGAGGATGATGATGATGATGATGATGATGATGATGATGATGCTGCTAATTTCGAGAACTTCTCGCCCTATTGTAGTCATGGGGAAATTTGTTTTGGAAAGCAGAATTTGGTCGCCGGCAGGTTTAATCGATATAGTTAGAACGTTGTCCGACAGGATTTTATACATTTGTTGTACAGCAGTTATTTCACTGTATTTTGTTTCGTCGAAAGAAATAACACGTGTACTGGCGATGCATGTGCGAAGCGTTTCCATGGCCGTTTCACTGTTACGAAGGAGTCTACGGATGATAGCTCCACAACCACCATGCTCCAGGAACATGCGACTGTTGCGCTTTGCTAGGAACCTCCCAAAAATATGATATACCGATTAGGACATATCTTGTTGGACAAGTTCCCTGTCAAATAGAAAACTCTGGGAAAGACTCGACGAATGGATCACAAGATATTCCAGAATAATTAAAGGAACCCGACAACAAAGTAACAACCATTCCACCATTTCCGAACTCCCACAATAATCCACGTTTATTTACGAACTTGACTACTCATGAGTAGTATCTTTATTTCTAGGTGCAAACTCATCTTCCCGTGTAAGATTTATTCAAAAATAAGCAACCCACCTACAGTCGCCTTCTTTTGTATGCTCTTAAAATACCTTAGATGAACGTTGTTCTTGCTGGCTATCGGCTCACCAACGGAACTTGGGGCTGAAGATTGATTGTGTCAATTCCCTGAATTCCACGTTCACATAAACTAACGATATGTTAGCTGGTGTCTCACGCAATGATTCAAAGCTGCTCCAAATCTGAGAGATTTATCGGAGGTTGAAACTTCGGTTTTGGAACTCAACTTAGTAAGCAGAGCAGTCACATTTGCAAAAATGCGTTTGCCTTCCTTCCCTCTGCCTTCGATTTGCAGTTATTTCTCCGCCATTTCCGTGACCGTCAAACAAGGAAGAGACGGTTGCGTCTCAAGTTGGGACTGAATAACATCCGCACACAGCGAAGTCATTTGGGTCCAATCCCTGCGTCGCTGGCCTCGAAGGAACAAGACGAAAGTGACGCACTGAGGAAATGGGAAGCCAATGAAGATAAACGGTATGCATAGTACTATAAATTGAGAACTACACAGAGTTGAGTTTGGAAAGGTCGAGTTTCTCGAACAGCTTTAAATTCTGTTGTCGAGGCTGGTAAATCCATGCAAATTAATGAAAACGTAAATGTCAAAACCATAAATGTGCTGTCGGTAGAGGAAAAAAGGATGAAGTCAATGGAAAATCAATAAGTAAAATACACCGTCATGTACGAAACCGGTACAAATCTAAACAACGAAGGCTGAGTATTAAATCAGGGATTGAGAAACATGAGTTGTATGAACTTTTATTTGTCTTAGTGGAAAACTAGCTTCTCTTGAGACAGGGTCATGAAACTGACCAATCATCGGTCAGACAATTTGGGCGGCATCGTTAAAGTTTAATGATTTTGATTATTTTTAAAAGAGAATTCCAAGCCCAACAAAATGAGGAGCTGATAAAACTTGTGTCAAAGTCTCTTTAAATCTCTTCGCCTTGTTCTAGTGACTGTGCTTCAGTCCTACAGGATCAGGCTACCTGGAACGTCGTTCCTTGAGGTTTCAGGAGAACAGCTAAAGACTAGCATTCGTGCTACAAGTGTGAAGACGAGGGCTTTTCCCCTTACACAAGAAGCTGGAATGTCCTGAAGTTTAATGGATAAACCAAACCGTCCACTGTGGTACGAGTATGGGGAGCGCAGCTTGTTTTCCCGGGTGGCCAGCCCGCAGCGGTGCTTCCTCTGTCCTAAGGAGAACGGAAAGGATAAGATCGCTCCGTACACCGGGATCACCCAACTGGGGAGTATAATCACCGTTGTGTTAATTATCCAGGTTGGCGTACTCCAAAAAATACGATTTCGCGTTGGCTGAGAAGAATACTCATCCGGGGTTCACTCCCTACATTCTCGGGTTAGGTCAATCTCCCATCGCCAAATAGGTGGAACGTTCTAATCCCTGCTTTCCACAAGATTGCTTCAATAAGCCAGGGTCAACCATGAAAGTATAGTATGAAGGGTTCAACCAAAAACCTGGTAACATCCAAGGACGGTGAAGAGTAGAGAAAGATAGTCAGCAGTTTGAAAGAATACAAACACACCGACTGCAAATAGAAAAGCGGAACTTTAGTGCCCTCCTCGACAGAGATGAAACTGACCAGTCTGAAATACACACATTGGCTACATTGGTTTCAAGTAAGAGCATATGGTTGACGGAAACCCGGGACTGCGCCTACCTGATGAGCCCCAAGAAGGGTGAGGCCTATCGTGGGCTGTCGAGGAGTTTTTAGCAACCTTATGAGTAGTGTATTACATTGGTTACTGATATGTTCGCGTATAGACGCTCACAAAACGACTCAGTACGACCCACTGCCAACTTTTTGCACGTTCATTATATCACCTCGATTCTAGACGAAACGTTTGCAACCAACTTGTCGAGCTCAGAGAACAGAACGACGGCCAATCACACAGCCTGAGCAACCGCAGTTCCAATAGCACATACAAGCCCTGTTACCAAGACTCCGAAATGCTACCGCACTAACCAGGCTACCCTCAGAAAACAACTCAGCTAGTCGATCGAAGAAGATACAGACCCGAATTTCTTGCTGGTCTGAAACTTCATAGAGCACTTGACCGGTACAAAGTGTCAGGTGCGCTAAATGGATAGAAAACTGGCAGACGAATCGAACTGCTTCGGTACAAGGATAAGACATATAGGGCTTTGAATTGTAAGAGATCTACTTTACCCATGTGTGCTCTTCCTGGTATCTCATCCAAAGTGCTCAGTAGGGACCGCGGTGCCAGCAGTCATCCGTTTCATTACAACCATTGGGTTTCATATTCTTCATGAGTGATTGCAAAGCCGAATTAGGTATGGAGGAGGTTGCTAGACTCGTTCGGGACTTGAAAGGTGCATGATAATGGCCGAAAGCCACTTGGATAACGCACACAGGTTAGAAAGACGCTAAGTGACACATGCATGCATCCAAGGTATGGAAGTGAACAGGTGTTGGAATATGGCATTATCTTCTAAAGAAAATTCCCACAACGAACGTAACGCGAAGATCTGATTGCAACAACAAGTACGCATGAATGATATTGATAATCGATTATCTGTAACACTGTTTCGGTGTCTAGCTATCGTGCCACCCGAAGGAAGCACAACAGCCGAGACGCTGCCGAATTGCCCAAGCCTGGACGATATCGGCCGCGATGCCGACGTTTGGTTCCAGCCACGGACTTTCCGGTTAGTGCGCCTTAACCAGTGAACTATCTCGAAACCGATGCAACGGTGCAACACAAAGTGCGTTTGTCCTGTTTAAGACTTCCAGCCGTAAAGTAAACTCGCTGCTTCGGGCGGTCCGTCAACACTACTGAATTTTCGCGAAGCCGTCGTTTACAAACTGCTTAGTACAGTAGGCCAAGATCACCATCCACTTCAGAACGGTCAAAGAAGCCATAGAAATCTTTGGCGAAAGGCTGGCTCTTTAAAAATAGCGGGTGTTTGTCTTCTCTGGTGGAGGATATTAGCAAGACCTTCCGAGATCAGCGCCGCATAAATCTCCACTTAATTTGGCTTTCATTTTATGTTAAAAAGAGCCTCGCTTCACAACAGTTGTGATTTATGGAGAAGTGATGGCCCAAACTACACTCCAAGAAACTGTGAACTATCTCTTGGGCGAAAAAGTCCTTTCATAGCAGGGGACGACAATAAAAAATATAGAGAGAGATGGAAGCAAATATCACCTGGGCTATTCCAGGTCGGGGGGCACCACGGAACCGTGATCGATTTGTAGCAGCGGACAATGACTGAACCGTCAACCTGGGTTGGGGACAACATCACCCCATCCACACTTCCTGGTGCGATGGTTCCGATCGTCTAACATGCGCTGATATAAGGAGGACTAAACACTCACGTGTAAGACGGAATTTGGAAATAAAAATCTTGGGATGTTCACTACCGTGGCCGAAAAAAACGCAAATTCCACCCTCCGGGGCATAAGTAATACCACAATATCTTACAAAGCTATATTCAAAACATCCTATCTAATATCACAAGCTAATTTCAGGCAATCTTGATCAGCTTACGCATTTTCAACCCAGTGTTCAGTTCTTGAACTCTGCCAGTGCCGAGGGAACGGGCGTATATGATAGTGAATAAAACTAGCCGAGATGAGCGATGTTTCATGCGGGTGCAACATCACTCTCTAGAGCACGTTTTACCGAATGTACCCAGGGAATTTATGCACTTTTTGGAAAACGTTTTGTACTTCCTACCATCCTTCTGTGCCTACAACTAAATGTGTGCTACCTTAAACAGTCCGTGTAAAAAATACATCCAGTACATTGTGTTGGGCGGAATTCCACACTAATACTCGTTTACCGCACACAGCCAGGCGCTGCTACGGCCTTGGAGCCCATCCCGCACAAGATTAGCCAAAAGTTCGGGCCACTAGCCGGCCCGGGACCAAGCCGAGCTCTGATTGGTTGAAAGCCTGTGCGCAAAATCCAATCATGACCCAGTATTTGCCGAATTCTGGTTGTCAATACCGCATCCAGAAGGCGTTAGAAATTCCAGAATGTTCTCACGACGCACTGTATCTGGACCTAGTTTTGGGCCTTAATATACGTTGGAGACTTTTCGGACTTTTTTGGGTTTCAGACCGAGAATCAAGCTGAGAAAAATACCGTTATTTCAGGAACGTACATCGGAGCAAGTATTTATCAGAAGAGGCGCCCGCTTTGCCTGTCCTTTCTGAAGGACGAAGAAGCCTGATGCAGAAACGAGCTCCCAGACCGGATTATTGAAGCAGGCACTCTAAAGGGCTTAACGTAAATCTCCTACGCCGAACGCTGGAGTTACTCTTAGAAATCAGGCCCTAAATTTCTTGCTGTTTCTATCTGGAATAACTTTTTTAGTTCATACTTTCTAGTATAACCTTGCGACGACCATCTTCTGCCCGAGCATGAGTTTAACCCAACAAATCCCAAAAAAATGCCATCGAGAGTCAACGACCATGGCAAAAACTGATCAGAGGTTCGAAGACCACGCATCTTGCGACCCGGAGTCAGAACAGACGTTGTGTTTCAGATTCCTTGTTATATCTGTTCCATTCAAAGCAAACTGCGTAGATCACATGGTTACAGTAAACTGGAATCTCATTATGTCTTCCTCAGTGAAAATAGAATTCGGATGATGGAAGATAACTAGTCTTAGGGTACTCGTTAGGGATCAAAACCGGATCCAATCCAAGATATCCAACGGCCATCATAGCCAACAAAAGCGAAAGTTCCATTTGTGTATAGGCTTTTCCACTTCAATACAGAGTTATCATATATTTTACCTCCTCGTCTGTATTGCGCGCACACTTAAAAAAAACACATTAAAATCCAGGTTTTGAAACCACTATCTGGAAAGTTAGATAAGTAATCATGTGTGAATGAAGGGTCTAAATAGCCGACGTTCACATTCAAGACTGCCGTTGGACCTTTTAGAGATGAAGCCGAAAATGCCTTGGCTGTGAAGCAAGAAGAGGAAGCTGCTGTGAAAGCAACATCAAAACTCAAATGGCTAAAAGAAGTAACAAACGCGCATCTAAAGCATCTGGAAGAATTTCTCAAGGTCACAAATCCGCAAGAGTCAGACGATGCGTGAGTAATTCACCATTTCATTAAAGAACTATGCCACCGGCTGGATCCAGCTTTGATGGTTGGGGCATCTCAGCATTTGCACTTTTTTTGCTTCGTGTACACCTGTGGTAACACATGTAACGAATTCATGCGGGCTCTCTGTTTAAAAACGCCTGCCAGGACCAATGATTTGGCTACTGGTCACATGAATTCCCATCTCTTTGAATTAACTGGAAAAAGTTTGGAACCGATTGAGAAGTCATCGTTTCTGCAGAGTTTGATAGGCAATCGGTAGTTTTTATTTGGGTAACGTTTCGCTTTTGACACAAAAGCTTCATCAGGCCAAGTGAACAGGTCACCAAATTGGCCAGGTTATAAGACAGTAAGGGAACCAAGCTGTAAGTCCTCTTCACACTAGATCAGTGTTGAGTGTCAATTAACGGCTGTTGTCGGCTAGTGTGGTTGCCAAAATCTTGAACTGATGGAGGTGTTTCAGATTAGTTCCGATCGCTTTTTGTTCTTTAATCTTCCACTTGAGGGTGCTTCACTTGATGATTCACCTCGGGTGCCACCGGTAGATTTTTCTCGATCTTCGTGGGCATGTGAATGTTGCGACAATTTAGTTGGGGGGAGGGGGGGTGCGTAAGGTTAAGTTGAATCCGGATGATGAACCAAGACCGTTCTCCACACGCTTGCCAGTTCCACACCTTCT